TTCAGAGCCGAACATCTCCCTAAAGACTGACTCGTCCTCCACGTCCAACATAATCTTTTATTTTTCTCATTATTTAGTCATCTGAACTTAAAAATGAACACTGATTTCAAACAGAAGGACCCCTTCTCCCCTCTGTTTCATAAGCTCTCTGTGTTCACACCGGTCTCTATGACAAGGCGGGAGCTGTTTGGAATAACACATCGACAAAACAAACAAAACAGGCCGTTATCAGGCTGGGATCAGTCACTCCATTAGACAGTCACTAATGCTGTTTGTTCTCTGCAGCAGTCCACAAGAGGGCAACGTTTGTAGGCTGCACATGTGACCTGACCTGCACTGCATACAGTATCCATTCTGATCTGAGCATGTCACTTGTAGGTGACAAGCACTCAAATACTCCTAATGCAAGCTGAAAAACACAGAGAGAGAGAGAGAGGAATGCTGATGTGCTCCACTGTCCCATAATGCACCAAGGAATAGGAGGGGCCACTCACAGCAGCACAAATTTAATAAAGTGAGGGTGTTGGTGAGATAGCTGCAGAGAGATTGAGGGAAAAAACAAGTATTACATGTTTGAAAAGACATCGTACTAGCTCTTTTTGAAGTCTAGTAGATGGTAGCACTAGAAAGCTGCTGCAGTACATCACTCTCTCTCGTCCTTTTCTTTATGAAGAAGAATGCCCACAAGCTCAACAAGCCACAGGTTATCTGGGAGCTGATATCAACACAAATAAACACAACTTTCAGTAAACAAGATGCTCTGCAAAGTAAAATTTATATTTTAAAAATGTTACACACCTTTGGAGAAAGTTCACTTGCAACTTCCAGTAACAAAACATCACAGAAGAAGACAAGAAAGTGAATAGTGGTGTTGTCAGACTTTGAAAATTTACAGTCAAATGTTTCATTTTGATCATTTAAGATGGTTTATTAACATGTCAGATCAGATGTATCTTCTGAATCTCCATCCCGAATTCAAATTAAATTCCCTCCTTCCCTGCACACACTGGTAGCCCGACCTGGTAATACCATACATGCCCCGCAAAGACTCATAATTGCCAAGTGCTATTTGATGGCCAAACGGGATTATGTCTTCAAAAGAAACATTAGCTGTCTTTAGGAAGGAGTGTGAGGGATTGGGGCACTCGTGCACCCCCCGCCAACCCACTCACCCCCTAATCTGGCAGGAGACCCCTTCAGTCACACTCCTCCACCTGGCTTCCATTACCTCTCCACAAATCCCTAATCCCTCCGTTTGTTTTCCCGGATAGAGACCAAGAGGAGAGGAGGCGAGAGCTGGCTGAGGAGGAAAGGGAAGGCAAGGATTTGGCGTCAGGGGTTGATGGCGAGTGTGGGGAGCGGCTATTTAGAAATGCTGATTTAGCGCAGTTAAAGCTTTTTGTTAACGTAACATAGGTTTGCCTTTCATTTCTATCTAGTGGGAAGAAATGTGTGTGTGTGTGTGTGTGTGTGTGTGTGTGTGTGTGTGTGTGTGTGTGTGTGTGTGTGTGTGGCTGGCCTCGGCGGTCTCCTTTCTTTAATAAAAGTATTGTTTGTGTTTCTCCTGATTGGGAACACATTGGGCCTGGGTCGGGCCCTGACGGGTCTGGGGTCCGGGGTCTGGGAGGCAGACCAGGGGTCCTGTTCTCTGGGGGTCTCTCCTCTGGTCCTTCCTCTCCTCTCCTCAGAAGTCCCGTCTGCTCGGGGGGCCACAAGGGGCGGCGGGGTCGCCCCTGAGAAGTGTCCCGCCGCGGGATGACCCCTCGCTGCCTCTGTCAGGGGGTAACCTTAGTCCCCCTCCTAATGCACCCCCTCCCTTCCCCCGCAGGGATGTAATATACACACACTGACACAAGCCAGTCACCAAACAGCCACACACATACCCAGGCCATTGTTCTCTATACGCACACGCACGTTCACACCCTTTTGCTCACCCTTCCCCTTACCAGACACACACACATACACATTACCAAAAGAGACTGTCATGCTGGTTGAGCCCGGCTCTGCCTGTGTGGCTTCAGCTTTGTTGTCTTGACGACGCCCCGTGTTTGAGATCTCCACATCTGATAGTGTTAACATGATCAGATTCAAGCTGTTTCGGCCTTGTAGCTGATCCGGAGACACAAGCAGAGCACAAAATAGAAAAGAAAGAAAAAGAAAAAAATAAGCGGTGGGATGGCAAATAGGAAAATCATAGGATGTGAAAATGATAGGAAATTGAAGTCAGGGATGGAGACAGAAAAAGCCACACCACACCTCCACTCAGCATGACCAGCGAACACATGGACCCTATATTAGCTCATGGAGTTAACAGGCAGCAGCGGCGCTCTGACATGAGCTCATGTGTTTGGACAGATCTGCTGAAGGTTTAAGACCAGTACCGAAGCCTTATCTGATCCCCAGATAAAGTCTCACACTAAGAATGAGAGGAAAACACATGCACGGAGGCAGCCAGTGCGAATGAATGGTGAGAGGCGAGCAGGGCAGAAGGAGAAACGGGGCGCTTACGTATGAAGGGGAGAAAGAGAAAGAGAATGACTCGCCCTGGCTACGCATAGAGACGCAAAGATCACATGTGGGTCCTGAGAGACCCCCTGAGTATAGAGTCGACACTGGGTGTGTGTGGGTGATGATGTCAGTGTGAATTACAACAGTGCGGACAGACATGTGAACAAAAGTCACTGTGGGCCTCAGTATGTGTTATTTTATATCTTCAGGTTTTATGAATGATTGGGACATCTGTAGGAACATGTGTGGCACACGTACATGCAAACTGGAAACCGCGTGTTATTATTGCTGTTTTAATGGAAGACGTTATGGGTTGAATTCTGCTAACGGTGTGAAATTCTTTTCTTTTTGCTTGTGCTTTTCTGCATTTTGTGGTTGCATATCAACTTACATTTTAGCTGCTTTGTAATTCTCACTCCTCAGTTTGACAGCTCAGTTGATTTCGGCCCTGAAAAGTCACTGCTGCCTTCACATCACTCATTTTAAATGATGATAATCCTGCTGACACTTGCTTATCTAACACTAAGATTTTAGTTTGTGTTAGGCTTTTCATTTTAGCTGTCACTTGAACATTTTTCAGTAATAGTAATTCAACTTTTCTCAAGACTTAAAATTTTAAACACACTAAGCACTTATAATATAGACTTTGCTTCATTGCCTATACTGAGACTTGTTTCAGATTTCCCACTTCACTTCCCTTGATCAAATAAAGTCAAAAGTATTAGCCTTGAACAGTCTGGTTTCCTCTGTTTTAAAGCTTTTTTGGGATTCATTCATTCCTATTTAAAAATATGCTACATGGCAGCTTTTCTCTGTGGTCCTCAGTGTTTTATTAGTAGCCACAGAGTCTTCAGAGAGTTGCAGTTGTAAAAAAAAAAATTAAAGTACATTCTCCCAAAGCCTTGAATCCAGCCCGTTCACTTGCAGTCAAGTTTCGGGTTTTGCGTTCATTACATTAAACTTTGCACATCTGTATGCCTTTCCATTCTTGCATCATCAAATCTGTACACGGCACACATCAGTAGACACGAACAACCGCAGATCGCCGAGGCTTTGGTGCCCAGCATGATGTTGCTTCCTGCAGGAAGAGGGAGAGCAGAGGAAAAGCAAAACAGGACATCTTCAGATCTGTCAGGGGAGCAGCCCCTCTCCTCCTCCTCTGCCCTCGGGGGGAAAACTCACCAAAGGAAGCGCTCTCGCCCTCTCCTTTTATCCCCCCTGTTCTGCCCTGGCCCTGCTCTGCTCTCTCTGGGACATGTTCTCCTTTTCGCTAGTACTCCTCCTTTCCTCCACCACTCTGAATTGAACAGTGATGGATGTCACCTTGCACAAAGGGGATAGTCTGATGGCCCCCTGCTTTCCATAGACTGAATGTAATTATTTTGATAACGCTTTGTTTATTAATTTGAGTAAGATACTGACTGCAAGTTCATTAGTGAATAGTAGCAAAGTATCTACCTTAGATAACTTCATATCAGTAGTTACCATACACTGTAGCAGATCTTATCTAATGCCAGTAGATTTTGTGTCGTATTTATTGAAGATTCTTAATTATCATAATTATACTCACACACGCCTGTTGTTGCAAAGTGGATATTCCTGCTATACATTTTCAGCTCTATGTAAAGTTACATGAATAATGGGTTGTAATGGGAGCCAGAAAAGATTCTTCTGTGTTCCATTTGGAAAGACTAAACTTAAACTCTCATCTCATTCTCCGCTCCCAAGTAGCCGACCCCTTAACCATCCTTGAGGTTACCACAGCCACAGTATCTGCTGCTTATGCGTGTGTGTCAGTGAGTGAGCGCACAGTGTTTTTCAAATCTGTGAGATTTTGCCTCTGTGTGTGTGTGTGTCCCATTGCGTGATTTTCCTGTTTGTTATTTTGGTCAGGACGGAGGCTGAGGAGCTGGAATCGGAGAGGTTTGTGTGGCGTGCCATATGCAGAGAGTGACACGCCGTTGGCCAAGCAAAGTGTTTTAGTGGTGTGTGTGGTTTCGAGATCCCATCATCAGACTCTGTTTACTGGACATGTTTGAAGTCGGCAGTGGTGGCCTCGAGAATCATCTCCTAGCATCTATTCAGTGTAAAATATGCAGAAAGAAAATAAGAGTCGAAGCCAAAATGAAGCGTTTCTTTTTGTATTCTTTTGTGATTTTTGCTTTCATTTCAGACCATAACTCAGCCCTTGTGTCGTCCCCCCCACCCCCACCAAACAAAACTTCTGTAAATGCATGGGTGGCATCTGACCCAGCAGTGCCTGTAAGACTAATAGTAAAATTGCCAATCATTAGCAAAGCATGCTATATCACTCCATTTATGAATAATCAAGAGATGCTGCGATAGAGAAGAAACTAAAGAATACAAAAAGGTAATGAGAGAGAGGGAGAGAAAGCAGGTAAATAGACCATAGTGGACAGCTGGCGTTCAGACGAGGCTGCCTGGCTTCCCACTGCTGTCTTTCCATTTGGAGATTAGATAACATCGCTTACCTTATTCACTCCAGCCCACATAGTCTCTTCTCCATTGTACACGGGTAGACTGGCATGTTGAGGAAAGGAAGAACAACCTTGCCTGGTTGCCCTAACAACACTGCGGTTCAAAGAGAGGCTGTGAGGTGGGAAAGAAAGAGAAAGAGAGAGTATGGGCTATTTATGCAGGGCTTGTGCTTTTTGCAGAAAATTGTATGCAATATTTTTTAGCATTCCTTAAAGAGGTGCTAAGGGTTTTTTGCAAACAAAATGTGACACTGTGTTCCTCAAAGCAATTCCCAAGATTTAAGAAAAAAGGCCTATAGGATTACAAAAAGCAAGCATTAAGCAGAAAGAGGCATAAAAGTGGGAATTACGGCAGACTTCTCCTTCCAGAAGTGTCAGATTAGAAGGCTGCACACCTGCCATGTCCTCTGTCCTTCTTCACCAAGCTTACACAGAGACCACCAAAAGCGGGGTGCCACCAGCACAGCATATGAAGTATAGCTCTGCAGTTCTGCACCATTAACTCGCACTGTTCTCACACGCAGCTCTACTGTAAAGGTCATTCTGTTCACCTCTGATTCTTCGCCATCTTTCAGCTGCAGAACCCTCCAACCCCCCACCCCTACCCCAGTCTGTATGAAGGAAGTGGGTGAAGAAGTCTCAAAACATTGCTCACACATCTCTTTGTGCACAAGGAAGAAAAGAAAAAAAACTAGAGTGGTTAACAAGCTGCCGTTTGAGCGTTCTCCTCCCGTTCCTTGTCACCCCCAGGCTTTGATCTGTCTTCGGGGTGTCAGCTGGCAGCCATGTTTGTTTGCCCAGCGAGGTAGGCTACCTGTGTAATTACCTCTAACGAAGTGACTTGTTTTGATTTGGAATGAAATCTAATCCCCTCGGCTGGGATGAAGATGTGGAAATGGGTTTGAGGTTACTTAGGATTGAAGTGGGAGTCTGGCTGTGACTAGCTGGATTGTTTCGGGGAGGGTAAAGAGGTTCAGCCGGTGAGTATTAAAAGGAATGCTGTATTGTGAGGATGGCAATTTTGGCTTGATATGAGTTTGGCCATTTAAGGTCTGGCAACAGACCAGGAAAACCTCAAAGAGAATCTTGCTGGCAGGAGGCTGCAGCACTTCACCTCTCATTGAAGGTTAGCAAGAACACAATGAGGCTCTCCTCTGCCCTGGACTCTACTTTTACCTCTCTCCACATTTCCCTCTACGCTTTAACTCATCATTGGAGTTGTCCAGTAGTCTCCTTCTCCTCCGCCTTTTTATCATGCATCAATCTTCATGCTCTTTTGCATTACTGAGTCGTTCCATTTATCAGTATACCCACATACAGGGCTTTAAGGGGCCCGAGTGTAAAGGTTTGCCATGGCTCCCCACTGACCCTCTCACCTGAGGCGGGTGAGTGGAAGCACATTTTATGTTCCTGGTCTAATACAGCCCAGCCCACATATATGCACTGTTTTCACGTCATTTTTAATCATGGTACATTCAGAAGTATGCAATAACACAAAGCATGCAAATTAAGTAGTTTTACAAATGTTATTCCTCCTTTCTTTTTATTGTGTCGTTGCAAAACTTTTTTTAGAGTAACTTCTTCTGCAAAACCAAACTCACTGCTTCTTCCCTTTTTGGTGAATGTCCATTACACAGGACTTAGTAAAGTGGAAGACCATGCAGTTTCCCACAGACTTATGTTTAGAAAAGAACTGCTGACTGAGTCTGATGAAGGGCAATGTACGGTCATGAGTGGGGATGCGGGATGCTCTCATATGATTGTCTGAATGTTTCAAAGTGAGGGGATGGATTGTACAAAGAGGGGAAGTGTCTCTCAAACCTTCTGCAGAGTGACACCCACAATAAGTCGATTCCATTTTGTGCAAACTCGTGAGTACACATCTGACACCTCAAAAATAAGAGTATAGTGCATGCATATATCTGCCTCTCTGCATTCCTCACTCAAACATTAACCCATGCGGGCAGGGATGCAAAAGGAGATGCAGGGGGAGATTCTGGTGGTCAGTGTTTATTTGCTCTATCTCACGCTCTTCTTTCTGAGAGGAACAAGAGCCATGTTGGGGACGCCACATGAGGGCTGAGGGTACATCCTTCTCCTTCCTCTTCATCTCTTCCCTCTGTCCCTCAACCCACCCCCACCCCTCCCCTCTCTTTCCTGCACCTCATAAGGATTCCATTCAAGAGCGGCGGCGTGTTGTTGATGTTTAATAATGCAGGCGAGCCAGATGCAAATGAACCAGAAACCAGCCCAGTAAGATCAAACTAGGACAAGCAGTGAGAGCTGTCTCTCCCAACAGCTGTCCAGGACAGATGCACCACTGCTTATGGAAGATAAGAACCTCTGACCTCAGATAAGATTATTAACCACATTTTAATTATAATAACTGCAAATAACACATTAAGTCAAATATTATCATGTGTATTTCACTTGTTTTTTCTTCCTATAGATATAAAGAGTCCCTGACAGTGTTAAGCAAGATTAAAAAAAACCCTTCATAAGCTTTGTTTTGGCAATTTTTCACCTTAAATTGTCAACTTTATGAAACAGAATAACATGCTTTCATTTGCTAGTGCTTGAAGGCTGTGTTTTTTTCATTCACCCATATCAAAATACATATGCACACAAAGGGCACAGAGCACAGCTTAATCTGTCACTGCGCTATTATTTTTAAAAAGCAGAGGCTCCCTTGGGGGAAAAAGGGAATGTAGGATGTTTAAGACTATATTGGAGAGAGGGATAGAAAAAAAAAGTGGGACATTTTACAAAGGCTTAATAAATAAGAATAGACCATTTTAACAATAAGAGTCATGGTTCAAAATAATTCAAAATAAAACTAAGATCATAATAATAATAATATTGTATTCATTTAATCATAACTGTGATAATAACGTTATCAACCACAACAAATATTATATAATTATTATTGTTACTGATGATGATGACGCTATCACAGTTAAGATTAAATTAATAAATTAGAAGAAATTATTTTTATCCTACTACTACTACTACTACTACTACTACTACTACTAATAATAATAATAATAATAATAATAATAATAATAATAATAATAATAATAATAATAATAATAATGTTGTGGAAACGCACTGCTTTTGCTCCTGCCTGTTGTCAGAAGCCGGCTGGTCGTCTCCAGTCCGGTCGGTTGCTCTCCGGTCCCGACCTGACCTGGTGGTTCCGTTCGCCACATTCCACCCGCATGCGCAATTATAAACATCCTAGTCCCAGACCTGCGAGTGCAGGAAGTGCGAGAGAACAGGAATTCCACTCTTTCAAATTAGATTGAGGCCCGTTACAATGATGGCTCCTCAGCTCACTGGCGGCCTGCCTCACGCTCACATTATAGGAAAACTATGGCCTAGGTGTTGTACATATGTGGAAAATAAGTTGTGGCTGCGAGTCTATCATAAAAAGTAAACTAAAGTAAAAGTAACTTAAAAGAGCAAAACATTTAAACACTGATTGTTTTACAATTATTGTGATTTGGATCATGTCTGTAGTCATCACGAAGATGGACTATATGGACTAAAATCTATATCGCGGGCTTGTAATACACATACTAAACATTCTCCTAACTTTAGGTGCATTTACATGAATATAAATAAAATATTTTTAGAAGTATTGGAAGTCTATCGGACTGTGTGCGGGTGGTGGGCCGGGGAGTTGGAGGCTTTTTTATTGGGAAGTTTTTCCACGAGGTGTCTGGGATTAAGCGATAACTTGAGAAGACTTTTGGAGTATGTGTATTTATCTAGGAAGAAGACACGGACTACTCTTGTCTCTCTGTGACAGCCTTTTGAGTCTCAGGAGTGCACGCCGCTATCTCGCCCATCGGATCCAGAAAATGTGCAGGGATAGTACTCATATCTGGTATTATTAAGAACAGGCAGAAATAATCCGAAACAACAAAAAAAAAACGTTTGTGAGATGGATTTTTATTCGTGGGTTTTTTCAAAGCACAATTGCTAAGGTGCAGAGAAGAAAATTTCAAATAAGTGGAAGACATTTAAAAAAATCATTGTTACTCTTCAGTTATACACCCTTTTATTATTTTTTATTAATTATATTATATTAGTAGTAGACAGTCTACAGGGAGGTTATTTATAGTGTATTTGTTTTTATTATATGTCAAAGTTACCTTAAAAACAGGCTGTGCTCTCACATTAACATTCCTCAGGGCTGTCCTGAAGCCTGTAACTACTACAACCAGTTCAGGTTTCAGGGTCCTTATTTTGTTTACGGATTGTCGACATGCTGTTTACAGCTTTGTTATGTGACGTGAAGCGCGTGCGTGTCGCGCAACAAACCATTCCTCTATTAGGTTACAGGTAGACTAATGGAGAGAGACGGAGCATAATAATAAAATTGCCTTAAGACCAGCGGCTTGAACCTGAACAGACAAGTGTCAAGTAAGTCCTCTTACAACACAGACAGAGAAGAAGAAAAAAGCATTTAGAGCTAGACTACCTGAACCGGAACCTAACGGGGTTACGTGGGGTCATTTAGGTGACACAAATAAAGCAGGCTAATTATTTTGAGACAGCAGCTGACCTTTATTATTATTTTCAAGACGTCATAGATTACAAAGATTACAGACTCTGGAATGACCTTATCAAAAGGCTATATTTAAATAAGCACACCCGTTTTGAAAGAAATTGCTGATTAAGTTTTGCTATTTAGCATTTTAGCCTAAAAGCGGTGAGGTACAGGGTTTTACGGGTGCTGCACATGGGCCACCGGGGAAGTTTGAAAGGGTTAGAGGACTACAATACATAATTAAAAGGGATAACAATGGGCTATATTTTGTAATGCTTCTACATTTCCAATCATATATATATATATATATATATATATATATATATATATATATATATGTATTCCCCCCTCCCCGTCTATTTTTTTTTTCTTGTGAGTGCAGAAGCAGAAAACAGAAGAACAATGTGGAACAATAAAGGAAGACTAAACAAGTCATGGAATCGCGAGGTAAACCTAAACATTTAACGGCCGGGACAAAAGGTTTGTTTTTGTGATTTCTACTTTATTTGCACAAACGCAAACCACTCTACATATAGATGCCCTGTATAAATGAGCACAAGCAATACCTTCAAGTGCAATGGGAATAAACCTATAATTTTTTAAAATGTAACTTAACTTCCATTTATAAGCATTTAGCCTTTGATATTTCAAATTCAAAAGTGATTTCTCTGAGACTGGGTTGATTTTTATCATTTAGGGCCGTTTCTTTGCATAAGTATCTTTTTAAATGAGTTTATAGTTTTACGGACAAGTAAGTAGGAATTCTTAGTGTATTCTCTTAAATAATATTTGTATTAATTAACATGATGATGTCATGTTTTAACCAAACCATATACTTGCAAAGTAAACCTGTAATGGCGGTGCAGAGATTATCGGGAAGTGCTGTCCGTCGTAAACACGTGAAAAAGACATTGGAACAAGAAATAACAACGCGTCGTAACTCTCGAAAGTGTGAGTCGGCGGTAATTGCATGTTGAGAGATGGTTGGCTCTCAGCGCGGTTCAGCTGCTGCAGACTGGCTGCAGACTGGGTGCAGGGTGATGACACACATGGCAATGCTGCTCCACCTGCAAAGACTCCCAAAGCACGGAAATACACTCCCAGAGAAAGCCGAGGGGACCCTCATGGGTGGCCAGAGAAATGTATACTTCACCACGCACTTCCCTCTCCGCGGTGAGCTAATTAAGCACCACTAGCTATCCGGATTTTGTAAGAATTATGTGGACTCTACAGCCCTTTACAAATATGCATGACTCTGGTGAGAATGTGTAGACTAGATTGTATATTTTGGACTATATATTGAATTTACTAGAAAAAGTGAAATTTTATATTTCACATTCAAACGTGGAAAAATATAGATATATTAAACAGAATTACTTTGAAAATTGGAATACGCTTGTTCCAAATATTTAATTTTGGGGTTGTTTTGCGCAAAGACATATTTCGGAACATTTCTTTATCTGTTTTTGTTATTGTTATTATTAATATTTTCCACCCCTTTTTCTGAAAAGCTTGCTTCCTTTCTGACTCAAACAGCAGAGTCAGTCATGTTAATATAATATTTTGAGCAACGAATTCACTAGCTATAAGCATAATTGCATTCTTTCAACGAATACCTGTATTTCTATTTTCATTACGCACTAACTGCTTCAGGTTTCCTACAGTGTTTTATGCCTACATTTTACTGTAAATAGGTGTTTATCGCGCATATTATTACTAGTATTTTGAACCCTTTCTGATTAATACAATTTTCAACAAGTGAAGAAGAGCTCGTTTTTTCATTGACTGGAACCACGGAAGGCGGAACTAACTTACGCACAAATCACAAAGCACTACGTCGCTCGGTGTAGAGCGCTAGAGCGAAAGCAGCCTGTCAGCGGCCCTGAAAAAAAGGGGAAAGGGCTGGCCTTACTGACTCACAGTCCAAAACTTGGGTTGCGCGTCCATCAGAAAACAGCTTAGAAAAATCTCAGCTGAAGAGAGAGGAAGGTCTGGTGCATGTCACGTACTGATCCGCAAAATTACAATTAAGATTTCTTCGTGCGCAATTTGGAGGACAGTTTTCGACTCACTGGTGCATCCTGAGATTCTGCAGCGCAGCATTTCACCGATCGAGACAGAAGCGTCAGAAAGGTGTTCTTTTCAAAGTTTAAACTGGACTTGTTTGTTTTGGTGTGTGCGCAATGATGGCCACTTACCAAAACCCAGAGGATGACGCAATGGCCCTAATGATCCACGACACCAACACGACCAAGGAGAAAGAGCGCCCAAAAGAGGAGCCGGTTCAGGACAAAGTCTCCGAGAAGCCGGATCCGTCCCAGAAACCGCCGTACTCCTATGTCGCTCTCATTGCCATGGCTATCCGGGAGAGCTCCGAGAAGCGCCTCACGCTGTCCGGCATATACCAGTATATAATCACCAAATTCCCCTTCTACGAGAAGAACAAGAAAGGTTGGCAGAACAGCATCAGACACAACCTGAGTCTTAACGAATGCTTCATAAAGGTGCCGCGGGAGGGCGGCGGCGAGAGAAAGGGGAATTACTGGACCCTCGACCCAGCCTGTGAGGACATGTTCGAGAAGGGGAACTACAGGCGACGCCGCAGGATGAAGCGGCCTTTCAGACCCCCACCAACGCACTTCCAGCCGGGGAAGGCCTTGTTCGGAGGGGACAGCTATGGCTACCTTTCTCCACCCAAGTACCTGCAGTCTAGCTTTATGAACAATTCCTGGTCGTTGGGCCAGCCGCCCACTCCGATGCCCTACACGTCCTGTCAGATGGCCAGCGGCAACGTGAGTCCAGTGAACGTCAAGGGGCTGTCAGCCCCCTCATCATATAACCCTTACTCCCGAGTGCAGAGCATGGCGCTCCCCAGCATGGTGAACTCTTACAACGGCATGAGTCACCATCACCATCCCCATCATACCCAGCAGCTGAGCCCTGCCACCGCGGCACCACCTCCGGTCTCCTCCAGTAACGGAGCCGGCCTTCAGTTCGCGTGCTCCCGTCAGCCCGCGGAGCTCTCCATGATGCACTGCTCATACTGGGAACATGAGACCAAACACTCGGCGTTACACACGAGGATTGATATTTGAAGTTTACCAACTGGTCCGTGCAAAAATGAAGACTCTGGGAGAGAGAGACAGAGAGGTAATTCCTGTGATTTCAAAACAGAGCCGACAGTATTTTGAAGAGACCACTCTGACTCAGATCTCTTCGGTTCCAAGCTGACATCTAAATGCCGACGGGGAGCTATATGCACGAGGTGATGCTGAGAAAGTTTTATGAAATGGAAACAGGAGGTAAAGGAGTCATCGGCTGCTCATTCATCAGGTAGCACAACCTCTGGGAGCCATTTCGTGCGCCTGTATTACACTTGGACTGATGGCCATAACTCGGTATTGTAAAATCAAAATTGTGAAATGAAAAACTGATTATTTTGAATGGATAGACATTGCTGACATCGGTCCAGCTGTATTTTTGGTGTGCGTAATGATTTGTCTCAGCTTTCCTTCGGCTTACTGCCGAAAGACGTCCTAATGAAGTCAGAGTTTTAATGTGTGATTAAATCAGAGCTAATTTTGGCTTTCTTAGTAAGCTGCACCGAGAAAGGCCTGCACGGTGATACTTCACCTCCTGCTATAGTTGGATACTTTGTTAGGTTTAAAAGGTGTGGGTAGAGATCCAGCAAACTACCAAAAGAAAAAAAAACAATTCAGGGCTTTTCATACTTTTTGATTACATGATGTAAATTCCAAAGTGACGCCAGCCAGTGTCAGATTTTGTTCTTTCTAAATATCGTTTTTATATATATATATAAATGTGATTAGTTATGTTTCATTAATGTTGGGGCCATGTTTCATTTTAATTAGCACTTTCCCTTTTTTTTAGGTTTGTCAATTTCTTAATAAAGTTGTATTTCTTAAATAATTAAGTGGTCATGAAGTAATCTGTTGTATGCTTTAGGCTATTATAGCAACCACTGCTGGCAGTAGGCGAGCAATCAGTAATAAACAAATCTGTGAACCTAACACGACATGAAAGTGCCACATTGGTTATGATGCAGGAGTTTTTTTCACAGCTTGTTCAAGAAAGAAAATAACACTATTAACAGCGGCGCGTGGTCGGCTGAGGATAGGCTTACATAAAAATGGCTGATAGGCGCACTCAGTATCACTTTAAAAATTAAATATGTATTCTATTGAACTGTTTGGCTCAAATTAGGCACATTTAAAAAATCTATCGATTTATTATATTAGTGTGACCAGGTAAAAGCTTTCTCTTTCAACTAAGAATCAGTGTCTGCGTTGTGTGCAATACAATAAAAACACATTTAGACTTATTCATTAGTATTTATGCCCGCTAAGGACAATTAATGTCATATGTTTAATATTTTATATTTTTCCCATCTGCAGCGGCGTTGCGTGTAGGTAACAGTCCTCTTTTTTACTAGTTAATTTCAAACAGACAAAGAAACAAAATACACACATAAACTGGAAAATTTCAGCTCGTAATTTATGATCATAAATATCCAAATATACATATAAATCTAAATAGTCTTTCTCTATAAGTGCAGCAACACTACTAATGCCTTCTACCGCTAGTAATAATCATAATAATAATAATAATAATGATAAATTCGATAATAAGGTCGAATTGATTTACGGCATTAGTGTATTGCTTGTTCGCGTTTTTTAGTATTTTTTTTAGCTATAAGTATTGGTAATAAACAAATAAAATCAGTTAAGATTAAGATATATATATATATATATATATATATATACCAGTGATAGTAACACGTTACAAGACGAAAAAAAAAAGATAAAGTCATTTATCCCAAATGTAGTTTACAAAATATTGACATCTGCTGACAGTCTTCTCTGAATGGTGAAAGTGGGGCACATTCAGACAGCTCCTCCTTCGTCCCTTCTTTTTGTTTTACTGAGAGATTGCAGAACTAAAGAAAATAAAATTCCATGCAGCCCAGAGGAACATCCATGAAGAAAATTAAAATAGCCTTTTGGTAAAACTTGATCTCAACCTCTTCTCTGCTATTATCACAAAGCATCGACATATTGGCGTTATCTGCTGTCTGCGTTTACATCTGAGTGATCGATCACTGCAAATAAAGTGTCTCTTTCGAATAGGTTATAGCTTTCACGCACAGTGGATTACTAAGGAATCGTCAGGTCATTTAAAAAATATTATTTCCTAAATTAATTACTGGACTATCATTTAAAGATGAAAAACTCCCAACACATGACTTCAGGGCACCACAGGAGGCGCATCCAAGCATTCACCTCTCTCCAACTTTTACTCGTCACAGGGACGGTCAAACAGGGTCAGGTGCGCCAAAATAGGACGCAAAAATCCTTTTTCTTGTTTTTTTCTACTGCAGAGACAATCGGTGACCGAACGAAAGCCACACTTACGGGGCCATGGATACGCACATTACATGAGGTTTTGCTAAAGTAAGCTAACCGTAGGCAATTATTTCATTGCATATGTACAAAATGCATGTGGGTCATGGATAATTTAAGTAATTTATTGACAGAAAACGTCGCATAGACTTTTTGCATGTATATAAACGAAATTCAAACGATAGCTTTTTCTTTTTTTCTTCTTTTTTTTGAGGACTGCATAAACAAGGAATTCTCGCCCCTGGGTATTGGCTGCTGATAAAGCGCATAATTCACTTATAATCCTCAGACACAAAAGTCAGCGCATGTCGCATGATGACTGTTTTTCATTTATTATTCAAGCGCATAAATAAATAATTTAAATAATCCAGCGAGAAAACAGCACTTCACTTCATCATGACAGACAGACTCTGCACAAAGTCATAATCACAGATAAATTGACTTGACACTCGGCCCAACTGTAAACAGCGTGTCTTCTTCTTCTTGCTCAGCAGCAGGCAGCTGTCGGGGATCAGTGAGCTCAGACAACCTCTTAACATTGTTGCCCAAAGCTCGTATAAAAACTGCGGGAACAGAAACACAGAATGAAAATGCCATCAGCCGGGTCTCACTCAGACTAACACTGACACTTCTCCATCCTCCTGTGTGCAGAGGGAGCGTCGAGGCAAGCCTGAAATGTAGCTGTGTACGTTCTCAGCTTCCTCACATTAATGTTTTGTAAACAATAAGGAGATAAGGGCGCTTTTGAAAGGCAACTGTATTCTAAACAAGCTTACAGAAATAATAAATACAGGGGTTTAACAAGAAATAATGTTTCGACCAGTGCAACCCTTTACATAAACTGTCCAACCAGAGGTGGAGTTTATTTTATTTCTTTCTCCTCCTGATTTAAAGTTGGAATCCATCAATCAGTACAGCAGCTTTTGTCATATATTTATTGATTTATTTGTGCGTTTGTTTGTTTTTTAAAAGGGGAAAGTTGAACTTTTAGTTTATTAACAAAGTTTATTATTATTATTATTATTATTATTATTATTATTATTATTATTATTATTATTATTATTATTATTATTA